TGCTGGAACCCCTCCTCATCCTGCTCCAACAGTTCAGAAGTTTTCCCGGAGATTCAGCCGAAATCTGCCTTCCTGTGTAGCTCAGGACGGGTCCTGCACTCCGGGATGCTTGAGCACCGATCCTGGCCCTCCTCTGCACCGCAGCCTTGCCAGCCCTTGGGGAAAGTGCCATCCTGTGGCTTCCGTGTCACAACCCACCGAGGGCACTCTAAACTTTTACCTCCTGCCTCACCTGGATTGTCTCCCTCTTTGTCTCCCTCCCAAGTGCCTGCAGAGAGAGAGAGAGGAGAGGAAAGCTAGCCATGGAAAGGAGACACAACCAATGGGGAGGAAATCAGAGTTTTGTGTTGAGAATACAAATCAGAGTTGTTGAGGCTTAGAGGTGGGTGTGAACATCTTCACACATACACACACACCAAGAAACAGTTGCCCACTAGCACAGTTCCAGGGCCTGAGAAGTGAAAACCTTTAGTTAGTCAAATCAGAAACTGTGTTCTCGAAGGCTTTCACGGCCAGGATCCATTAACTTGTAAACTAGCCAGAGTAGGCTTTTACGCCCTGTCAGGAGGTCCCTAAGCAGCATGTTTATTTGTTTGGTTTTTTGACACCGGTCAAGGAGGCCGGTCTGTTTCGCAAGGGGCTTTCGCCGTCCGTTCGGAGAGCCTGTGTTTCTGTGGCCCCCGGTGCCTGGCCTCGTGCCCCTGAGAGGGCATTGCCCACTGCCAGTTCCGGCAGGGACAAACAGCCGCCCCACGGCCCCGTTTCTGCTTTCTGTCTTCCCCAATGAGCGGCTGGAGGTAGCCCTGTTTGAAAAGGGCAGCTTGTTGCAACATCTGCCAAGAGAGGCCTTGCCGCAGGAGTAGGTGCAGAAGGCTTTTCGTTTCTAGATGTCTGGTTGCCCCGGAGGGCTTTCAAAGGTTTCCGTAAATGCTTTGCCGTTTCTTTCCCTATTCCATGTCTCTCATCCTAGTTCCACCCAACTGGAGAATAAAAGTCCCGGAAGGCCAAAGAAATCCGTTGTGGTGTTTTTGTGAATGAAGGGTTCAGCTCACGAGGGATCCGGGCCTTGGCCAGCCCTTCCGTGCTCACAGCGCCTTCGAGTGGAATAATAGATGGGGCTGGATTGGTGCCCATCTCAAAGGCCTCGGTTGGCCATCGTGTGAACAGAAAGTTAAACCGAGTTAAACTCGTGTTCTGGTTCAATGCAGCTCTTGGTAGCACAAGATAAATCTCAACTTTTCCTTATTCAGAGTTCCTTCATCATTGTCCTTATTGTCATCACATTAGAATGGCAGAGTTGGAAGGGGACCCTCAGGATCATCCAGTCCAGCCTCTATCAAGCAGGCCCCGTGGGGGAATCGAAATCCCAACCTCTGGCCCCGCAGCCAGAGACTACCGTATTTTTCCGTATATAAAACTGTACTTTTTCCTAAAATAGAGGAAAATGGAAGGGCGTTTTATACACGGAAGGCAGGAGACGGAAGTGGAGGAGTGGCCTCGCTTGACCACCTCTCACGGCTGCCCATTGATTGCTCCTCCGCCTATGGAAGGGTCAAAATTAGGGGGTCCTCTTATACATTGGGGGGTTGTATACATGGAAACCAAACTCTGGGAGGCAGTGAGTGGAAGACAGGAGGGCCTGGCGTGCTCTGGTCCATGGGGTCACAAAGAGTCGGACACGTCTTAACAACTAAACAACAACAACAACATACACGGAAAAATACGGCAAGGAGCTGAGCTGTCCAGCAGTTGACCGCCTCTACTTCCATTGACCCAAACCAGGCGCTGGGTCCCGGCCACAAACATGACTCCACGATACCACCCGAGCCACAGAACACACATGGTTTGATCTGATCCAATGGGTGGGTCTTCAGCTTCTTTCCATTGTAGTGGGAATGGTGGAAATACAATTCGAAGCTTTAAACTGGTAATATAGTCCATGGAGATTCTGGAAAGAAGGTTTAATGTGGATAATAAAGTTTGTCACGGCAAGATCCAAATGTATTTATTGACTCCTGCCTTTCTCGTCTCTCTGCTTCCAGGCCTACGGAACGCACCTCGCTGCTGGGATGTGATTCAGCCACTCCTCTGTGCCGTGTACATGCCCAAGTGTGAGGATGGGAAGGTGGAGCTGCCCAGCCAGTCTTTATGCCAGGCCACACGTGGTCCTTGCACCATCGTGGAACGCGAGCGGGGCTGGCCCGACTTCCTTAAATGCACCACAGACCGCTTCCCGAAAGACTGCCCGGTAAGTCTGAAACACAAAGGTGGGTGGATAAGAATCTAGATCTCCCTCGGAGCAAGCAGTTGTGAGCAACGTGTCCCGTTACGTCTCACCAGGCTGCCTCAAATCGGTGAGAACTAGAATTCAGCATAGACTGGAGGGCCACAGATTTCTCAGGCCATCTCATACCAGTAGACCACACTGCCTCTCAAGCGAGTCTAAGTCAGATTGCAGCATTAGTGCATGAATAAGTTCTTGAGGGAGCAATTGCCTCCTCTAAGTTTTTCTGTTTTAAAATAAATGTGCAGATAAATGTGTTGTTAGTAATACCGTATTTTTCCATGTATAAGACTATTTTTTCCCTGAAATCTTTAGACTAAAAATTGGGAATCGTCTCCCAATTTTTGGGAAGCTCACAGAGAGAGACCAAGTGGAGGGGAAAGCAAGGATCAAAGCGATCCTGCAGCGGTTTGATCCCTTTCCCCCTACACTTGCTAAGACCCACTTAGATTTCTTAATTTTGGATTAGAAAAGTGGGGGACGTCTTATACACGGAAAAATATGGTAGTTCATTTCTGCCAATAGGATTCTGGCCGGTAAGTAACAGCGGAATTCATTAGATCTTTGGCAAGCTGTTAAAGGGGTCGAGGTTCTGTGTTGTGGACATCGCTGGGCTTCGAAGGGATGATGATAGCATGATGTACCCTTTTGTCTCTCCTGCTCTGCCCCGTCCGCCCAGAATGAGTTCCAGAAAATCAAATTCAACAACTCGGGGCAGTGCGAGCCCCCGCTGGTCCGGACAGACAACCCCAAAAGTTGGTACGAGGACGTGGAGGGGTGTGGGATCCAGTGCCAGAATCCGCTCTTCACTGAGAAAGAGCACCGGGAAATGCACGTCTACATTGCGGCCTTCAGCTCCGTCACGATATTCTGCACCTTTTTCACCTTGGTAGGCAGACAGATGGGGGGGACGGGGAATGAGTCGGGGTGAGGAGAGCGTCCTAGCAGGGGCCGGTCCAACCCTGAAGACGGCACAGGCGGCTGGCGGTCTTGAATGACCGGGCCGGAGAGGCCCTGGAGGGTCAGCATGGTGGAGGGCAGCCAGATTGTCATTTGAAATCAGAGGCAAAGGTGGTCTCTAGAAAAGAAAAGAAAACCAGAGAGAGAGATGCAGGCAGGCAAGCACACACCCACACTCATAGAAAGGGATGTTGGAAGGGGCCTCTAAGGCCATCTAGTCCAACCCTCTGGCTCAAGGCAGGGATCCCAAATCAAAGCAGGTCTGACTGATGTCCAATTTTCCCTTGAATGTCGGAAAGCCCACCAACTCCCCATGAGGTCACTGGTTCCATTGTCGTACTGCTCTAACAGTTAAGCCGGTTTTCCTGTTATTCAGCCAAAACCCAGCTTCCTGTATCTTGAGCCCCTTATTACATATCCTGCACTCTGGGATGATCAAGAACAGATCGTGTCCCCCACCCCCCTCTGGATGACTACCTTCCAAGGATTTGAAAAGTGTCATCCTTGTTTCCTTCCTCTGAACTGGTTCCAATTTGTTGGTGTCCTTCTTGAAATGTGTCCAGAACTGGACACAGGACTCAAGATGAGGCCCAACCAGTG